AACCTGTGAGTTTTCTGCAAATACTTTATCAGATATTTGTTTTCAATATAAATTATAAAGTGTGTCCTAGCTGTTTGTGGCTATTCTATTCAAGGTAACATTAGTTATGGTGGTTACAAGGTTGCTCAGTGTGTAGTTCTTGTGTGTTATTAATGATGAATACCTTCCTTAATTAACTCAGCACACTTTCCAAGAAGTACTCCAAATTCCAAGGGAAATAAGTGTGTGGGGGGGAACTTATGTCAGCAATTGAATATTTAATAAGCCCCTAGCTCAATGGAGAATAACAATAGTGCTCTCTGGTTATTAAATAAAATTGTACAATGTGTAAAGATAGTTAAAGACTTATAAGCAGTCTTTTAAAATTCATAATCTCCTACTTAGAAACATTTTAAGCATTTTCTACAACAGGTATTTAAAAATATGATATGAACAAAGAATGAATATACCACTGATTTCTTCTTCCCCACTTCTATTGACTGCCTATTCCCAGCACAGGAAGGGGGATTTTCAACAGGTTTTCATTCTTGCTGGATGTTGTTGACAGTCGCACACCAAGGTAATGGTGGCTCATGGTTCATGGCTCTCTGACAAATAATGATTCAAACAACATTCAATTTACAGAGTTGTGTCTGCTTTTACTGTACAATCCCTGATAGTGTAGAGAGAGTGCAATCACAAAATCTTCAGTGATTCAGAGGAAACTTGTTTCTTAATTGTTCCACTTTTTAAGATGCTTTTATCAACATGAGTACTGGCCCTGATTGACCTATTTACCTTAATCTAGTAAGAGAGTGTCATGATTGTTGGTTTGACTTCCTTATATAACTTAAAACAATTTTCTGACTACATCATGTTGACGAATGGAAAGTTATCATAAAGATATAATTACAATCAGCATCTTTGACAGTTGATTTGATACTGAAAGTTTCTTTTTCAGAGGGGAATGTGTTCAAGACTATCACATGCACTAAACTTCCTAGAAGTATATCAATTTGATAATGCTACAGAGAATAGGAATGTACTTTAAACCCTTTGAAGAGATTACTTCTGATTGACATTATCATGTGGTTTTATCTCTTTGAATTTTATTGTTTTTAATTTAAATTGATGTTCAACTTTTTCATTTCTGAAAATCTAAAGTTATTAGATTTTCTTCTCTGTAAGAAAAGTGAGGTTAACTTTTTAAACAAAACTATCTCAAATCATTTTTTTTCAAGCATAAGTGTAGCAAAATTCCTTTAGAGCATCTTTACCTTAGTAGTGAAAGAATCACCTAGGGAGCAGAGGGATACATAACCCTTATTTTTTTTTTAAGCATTTTTTTTTTAAAGAGAGAGAGAGTGAGAGAGAGGGGGACAGAGAGAGAGAATTTTAACATTTATTTATTTTTTCTTAGTTCTCGGTGGACACAACATCTTTATTGGTATGTGGTGCTGCTGAGGATCGAACCCGGGCCGCACGCATGCTAGGCGAGCGCGCTACCGCTTGAGCCACATCCCCAGCCCCACATAACCCTTATTGATTGATGAATGAGTATCTTATATGATGTAAGGTACTGGTTCACTGTTATATAATAAAGAGAATAAAAATTGCAAAAATAGATTTTTTTGACCTAGTGACAAAAAAGGACAAGCAAAACCTCACAGGGAAATATACTAAAAAGGCAAGGTTGTTGTTACTCATTAATTCTCAGTACAAAGGCCCCTTTGTTCATTGTCGAGGACCAATACTAGGGCAGGGGATAGTAGGCTTTAGGAAAACCCCACAGCTGTTCTGATTGTTTTAATCAATAGCCTTTATTTTTAGGAAGAGTTACAGTTTTACAGAAAAACAAAGCATATAGTATTATGTTCACATTTTGCTGCCCCACCCCATTCAGAATTTCCCCTAGGATTTACATCTTGCATTACTGAAAAATATTTGATGTAATCACAGAATCAAAACATTTTACAAATATTGATAGTATAATTATTGATTTTAATATTTAATTACATATTAAAATACTTGTTTTACTGTTCTGTGAACACTGTAAAGTATAATGTCAATTTTTACCATGATGGCATCTTACAGAATAGATTTACCACCCCAAACGTTCCTGTACTTCCCCTTTCATCCTCTTCTACTCCCTCTGTATTCCTGGCAACCTTTAATGTTTTTATTGTCTATTGTTTTGACCTTTTCCAGAATGTCATAGAGTTGGAAGCAGACAGATGTAGGATTTTATGTAGGATGTTTCTCCTGGTGATTCCACTTCTTTTCATGTTTAGTAGTGAATTTCTTTCTTTTCTATTTTGAATCTTATTTTATACCATTATTTTATTTATTTATTTTTATGTGGTGCTGAGGATCGAACCCAGGGCCTTGCACGTGCCAGGCGAGCACTCTACTAATGAGCCACTACTCCAGCCCTGTATTTTGAATTTCTGAATGACACTCCAATGTGTGGATGTGTCAGTGTTTTCATTAATATTAGGCAAGTAGCTACTGTAGGTGATCTTAGTTGCTTCCAGTTCTTGGCAATCGTGAATGGAGAAGCTACAGGTATCTACAGATAGGTCCTTGTGTGGATAGAAGCTTTCAACTCCATTGGTTTAACAGCAAGGAATATAACTCCTGGGCCTTATGAACTGTATGTTTTGATTTTTAAGAAGCCATCAAACTGTCTACCTGAGTGGTGGTCCATTTCTGTGACTCCACCAGCAATGTATGAGAGTTCCTCTTGTTCTTCAACCTTGACAGCTCTTTATATTGTCAGACTTTAAATATTGTAAATTCTTAGAGGTATGTTTAATTTGTAATTCCTTAATGACATACAATGTTGAGCAACTTTTCCTATGCTTACTTGTCAAATGTTTATCCCCTATTTTTTTTATTTGTTAAGGAGCTTATTTATTTTTTTTCATTCAATTTTTTAACAACCTTATTTAGGTAATACTAAAATACAATAAACTATACATATTTAACACATATGTTGTTAAGTTTTGACATAACTACTTACCAATGTAACAAACACCACAATCAAGATAGTTAACATTGATATACACCCACAGGTTTCTGGCAGTCCTGTGTAATTTCTTCCTCTTTTTTCCTCTTTCTTCCAGAAACAACCACTGACTGGCTTTTTATTGTGTTATATAATACAGTAGATGGGAAGTCACACATATTAATCATCAGAGCCTTGGTCCACATGGCAGGTGACCTTGGAACAATCACTCATCTTTCAGACTCAGTTCACTCATCTATAAGATCAGGATTCTTCCAAATAGAACCCAACATATTGGAAATATAAGGACAAAGTAACTAATGAGCAAACAGAGTGCCTGACACATAGTTGGGTCTTGATTTCTGGAACCTAGTGTTACCCTCTATGCTTCAGGTTGGATATGCAGAATTCTTGTGGGAGTCAATAACTCCATAGTTTCTCTCTATCACCTTGAGATTTAGTTGAGTAGACTTTTGTGTCTTCAGGGATTTTTCTAATGTTTTTTTTATTGGTTGTTCACAACATTACAAAGCTCTTGACATATCATATTTCATACATTAGAATCAAGTGGGTTATGAACTCCTATTTTTACCCCAAATACAGATTGCAGAATCACATCGGTTACACATCCACATTTTTACATACTGCCATATTAGTGACTGTTTTCTTATGTTTTATTGAGGTTAAATTCTCATAGGATGCTGTGGTAAAATTACCAGATTTACCTTGTTCTAAACATTTCAATCACTGGAGGAAAACCATGTATCTGTTAGCAAATGCTCACCCTCTCATGCCCTCCCAACCACTGGCAACCACCTTTTTCTTTTCTGATTCTGTGATTTCCAATCTTTGGATATTTATGTAAATGTAGTTATAGCATATGTGACTTTTCATATCTGATTTTGGTTACTTTGTTTAATATTATTGAGATATATATTCACATTGTACTCTGTATCAGTATTTCATTTGTTATGACACAGTAATATTCAAACATATATATGGATGTTTATATCATATATTTGTTCATATATATATATATATATGCTTATTCAGATATGGATATACATATAAATACATATAGACAAATGTGTTTATCCATTCTTCTCTTGATGAACATTTGGACTTTCATCTATTTCCTAGTGTAAATGGTGCTACTATTAACATATATGCACAAGTGTTTGAATATCTGTTTTTAATTCTTTGGGGAAAATAGCTAAGCATGGAATTGGTAGGTCATATGGTAATTTTATTTTCACATTTTTAGCAATATCATATTCTTTTCAATACTCAATGAATCACCTTATATCCTTACTGTAAGTGTATGGGGCTTTCAAATTCTTCACATGGTTTCCAACAATTATTTCTTTTTTTTTTTTTTTAGTGGAGGCTTTCTTTTGGTCAAGAAGTGCAGTCTCATGGTGTTTTGTGGGTTTTTTTTTTGTTGTTGTTGTTGTGGTTTTGGTATAGGGAATGAACACCTGGGTGGTCTGCCTCTGAGCTCCATCTCCTGTTCTTTTAATTTTTACTTAGAGACAGAATCTCACTAAGTCACCCTGGGTGTCCTTGAAATTGCATTTCTCCTGCTTTAGTCTCCTGAGTAGCTTAGATATAAGCATGCACATATTATTAGACAAAAAAAAAAAGAGAGAGAGAGAGAGAGACAGAGAGAAAAACATCAGTGTGCCTCTAATAGAATTCACTGAAAGAAACTTTAAGAACAGCAATGCAGGAAGAAAGAAAACAGACCCAGTGTAAACGTCTGAGATCCAAAGTAAAAGGAAACTACAATAGTTTATAATATGCTAAGGAGGGCCAGTATAGAGACAATTAATGTAAATAACTTAAAACAAGATGTACATACAACAGAATATTATTCCCAAGATATTTGCTAAGTATTTAGATTACTTTGTTCTAACAAAAAAATATTATTCCTATGTTAATGATTTTTCTTCAGAGAGAAAAACTTATAAACTAAAGAAAATTGTTTTAATGAGAGTGGCAAAGTAGCTTCACATCAGTTTAGCCAGAGCTGAACTTTCTCTCTCCATTTGGTTTGCATAACTTTTATTATGTGTGTGTCAGCACTTATCAGCACCAAAGGACTGATGGTGCCATAGCCATTGGCCACAAGCATTTGAAAATACAACAGGATGGGGTCACCAGTCCATGTCATGCCTATAAACAGTGAAAAGATGGAGTCCACACAGTACAAGATCTCAAAACAGCTGATGAGCAACAGAATAGTGTAAGTGGCCCTTTCTTCTGGGGATCTTTGTGGAGAAAACCTGGAGGTATGAAGAGACATGGCTCGTTTTTTATGTCTATGCAAAAGATTTATCATGTATGCACTTGAAAGAACCATAAGACCCAGAAATAAGAGATCTCTCAATGCCACCAAGGCAGGAAACAGGCTCCCGTATCTGTAGCTCATGAGCAGAAGGGAACAGTGGTCAGTGACAAACAGAAGTCCAGGCTGGGTCTTATTGGGAGTGGCCACAGTGCAGAGGAGCAGGTTGCTGGAGAGGGACATGGTGAGGGCCCATAAGAAGACAAATAGCCCCACAATGGGATTTGTGGATTTCAGTTTGAAGTGGGCCAACCAGGAGCCACTGGGACTGATGGTGATGGCCTGAAGCACACTCAGGACACAGGTGGTGCAGATGGACAGCCCCCTCATGACCTTGTGCAGGAAGACAAGTACTTTGCATTTGAAGTCACCTGGAACGTCCTGTGTTTCCCAAATGTTTGTAGACACTAAAAGGCCCATGGTGAGGAGCATGAGGATGTGGGTTAGGGCCAAGTGGGTGACAGGGAGGTCAGTGAGCCTGGGCTTGTGGCCCATAAAGACTGCAGCAATGTGAAGGCAAAGCAGAAAGGTGTTAGCTGTGATCCCAATGCCAGCCTGGGGATAGAAGCCTTTTTTAAGGGCAACATAACTGAAATGTTGGTCCATCTTTATGGGGAATCTGGGGAGAAAAACAGGGGCAGTGGAGAACAACACCTTTTTCATTGCCATGCTTCCAGTTCTACCTTCCCTTACAATCTATAGAATCATCATTTAACAAAACAACAAAAATCTTTGTGAGTAGGGTAGACTCTTAGTCTTAATGTTAATTTCAAATCAATGGTTGGTGGTGGCTCCATGGTAGAGTGCTGGCTTAGCATGAATAAAGCCCTGGTTCCATGAAATCACTGAAAGAGAAAAGAAAATGTAGGTAAAAAATAAGTAAGGAATAAATTTCACCTTAAGCATCATGCATTCTTCTGAAGAATGATTTTGCATACTTCCCATTCATCACTTGGAAGTGATGAGATTTCACCCCTCTCTTTGAGCCTGTTCATACCATGTTTTCTGATGTAGCATAAATCACGTTATTTAATGGTGAGCTTTTGTTTGCTTTTCAATCTTCCCTGCAGCTTTCTCTATGTGAAGATGCTCCCTTCTCTGGCTTGCATGTGCCATATCTGAAACACTGTGGCTTATATAAAATTTATTTACCATAAGCTGTGGATGTAAAGTTTGGATAAGCAGAAATCAGAATCCTTCAGGAAAATAGTACCAACAAGCCTATTCCCATGATTTCTTTATTCAAGTGCAGAATTTTAAGGGATTTAGTAATTTCTGTCCTCTTCTCCCATGACCTTCATTTATCTCAAGTCCCAGCATTTATTAGCTGGGGGAAGACTTTCACTTCACCTAGGTTTCAATTGATTTCATGGGCAAATGGCAACCAGCTTACACTTTTCTTGTAGCATTTTTGGAATGAGTAATTAGATATGTGTCTGACACATATGAAGCACTGTAATACTGTTCATAACTTTTTCTCTCTAATCTTAGTGTGGAGTGTAAATGTGATATATTAAGGATTTCCTACCATATTTAAGAAATGCCTATGCATGATTGGTTTTCTTTGACATACTTTTATCCTTGGATTCTGTTAGGATTGTACAGTTATTTCTTCAAACTTTCAAGTTACTACATGCAATAAATATAGATGTTTTCACATTCCATATCTATTCCAGGAAAACAGGGACACAGTTGGTGGGATCTCCTTCACAGTTCTTATCCCTGTAAGTAATACCACAGTATGTTTTCATTCTCATAAGTCTTTTGTATTAGAGAAAATAGCCCTGCTATCTCCATAGTAATGGGGGATGCCTTACTAGGAATGTCCTGTACAAATTATTCAGTCAGGTACTAAGAGAGGTTTAGTTGTTCAGAAGTGGGAACTGACATCAATTGTCTTCCACTTGATTTTTCAGATGTACATGGTAAACAGAACATTGAATAGCAGGACCATGACTCTAATTCTGGCATCTCACTCAATCTCATTAATCTTTAATCTCAGGACTTAAAGTTCTTGATCTGTGTGACATTGTGAAAGTAGTTATAACTCCTTCCAGAGTCTCCATATGAGCAGTGAGAATGATGGAATACATAATGTTATTTTTATTATACTCTCAAATTTTATCCAAATAACTTTATAAAGGAAGGCAGAGTTATTGAGAGTCCATATCCTTGACATAATGCTTATGAATTATAGGCAAAACACATAAACATTAATACAGAAACACAAGAGTTTCAGTCATGGCAAGGCAAAGAGACCATCCTAGAGTGTCCCAATAAAATAGCATCAGGATGAGGCTCTTCAGATACTTTTAATTAAAAAGCTGAATCTAGGGCTGGGGTTGTGATTATCAGGAGAGTCTTGCCTAGCATGTGCAAGACACTGAGTTTGATCCTCAGGATCACATAAAAATAAATAAGTAAAATAAAGGTATTGTATCTAACTATGATGAAAAAAAAACTTAAAAAAAGCTGAATCCAAAGAAAAGAGGAGTTTACACTAATTTTGGCTGTTGGGATATTTACTCTCCAAATTATTTGTGTGTTTTCTAAAGTAGAACAGAAGATAGCATTGCAGAGTTAAGAGAGGAGAGAACAGGAGGAATGCTGTCACAAAAGCAGGCTTACCTTACCTGGAGACCCAGTGGGAAGCCTAGGGCTATTTGTGCAGAAAGCAGCAAAATGGGACTTTAACCTAGAAAATAACCAGATTTTGCTTAATTTACTTTAATGAACATGAAAATGTGAAGTCTGTGGTAACTCAGTGACTGGAACAAAACTAATTAGAAAGTGTTTTGTGAAGGAATTTTTCAATTCAGAATATCATTAGTCAAGATTTGGGTGGCAGGAGTGGTGGAAAATATTTTAGAAGAGAAAAAATTCTCTTGAAAAGATAAAAGACATTTTCTGTATATTATTATAAACTGCTGTCTTTACTGCAAGAAATTCAGCACAATTATAACAAAGGAATTTGTTATTTTAATTCTAGAAGCATTAATATATTTAATATAAGTAAAAATTTTTATTATTGGTTCATTTTAGTTATATACATGAAGGTAGAATCCATTTTGATATAATTATAGAAGCATGGAAAATGGCTTATTCTATTAGAAACTCATTCTTGTAAATGTACTTGATGTTAAGATTCACTGGTTTGTTCCTGTATATATGCATAGGAAAGTTATGCACAGTTCATTCTGCTAATTGAAAATTTTCTCAAATTCTATTCACTTTTTTAATGATTATCATTAGTAAAGAATAACTACAGCTCATAGAACAGCTGGGAGAAGAGAAAAATTCTAGAAATTTTTCAATATGCCGACCCATAGTTTAGTATTACTATATGTAGTATATAGTATGGTATGTTTTAAATTATTACAAACTTGTTTATTCTATTATGTTCCTGTCTTCCTGCATCTTTAGGACAATTTAAAAAGCATAAATGCACCTCCACTGAATATCTATGTGCAAAAAAGAGGAAGGTAAAGTAATTCTGATGTAGTGTTTCAAGGACCATTTGAAAGAATGCAGTGTCTTTTTTTTTTTCATGTAAATATACACTATACATTGTGTTGGAAGTTGCTATTCAAAATAAGATATATTAGAAATACTTTTTAGCAGGTGAGTCTGTGAGCTTATAAATTATCAAATGAGGTTTAGAGACATTTTAAGTTCTGGAAAATAATGTAAAACTAGAAATTGCTGGCCTTTTAAATTATTATAAATTGTGAGTCTTTATGGTTAAAAAAATCACTCATGTAAGATAATAATATTTGTAATATTATAAATAATAACAATATTATGAATTTTAAAATGATAGAATGAAAATTCAGATAAATCATATTACAAATTCAAAGAAGTGCTATAGCACATTAGAAATAAATACCTGTGCCTGGATTTGAAGTAGTTAGAGGCAGACTTCAAAATGCATTTCTCCAGTGCCAACAACGCAGTCTCCTCTGCCTTCTCTTTCCATAGAGCTGAGGCTTCCAAGATGAGATTTTATGGGATAGACAGCTTTAGCTCATCTCTCGGTGGACTGATAATCTTGGTGTTGCATCTGAAGTCTGACAGCACCTGTCTTGCAGTAGGCAGGGAGGGAGTTCCCAGAGGAAAAGAAAAATATATTCTTCCATTATCAGGCAATGGTAAACAAGCATCATCTGGATGCAAACTTTTTACATTTAGCTCTCTCTTTCCAAGGTCAGAGTATGCTTGATTATTATTTGCATAGAATTCATAGCAAACAAATTGAGAGGCTCTTCTACTGATGCCAAAGAGTCCTGGACTGGAATAAAAACATGTGACCAAACAAAAATAACTAATGTCATAGTTACATTCTCAGATATATCAGCTCCGAGTAATGACACCCCTGTACAATGAATATGCCTCAGAGGCAGTTTTGATTTCTAAATGCCTTAAACTTGAGAAGAAAATATGGAGAGTGATGTGGGACATCTTCTCCTAGCAAGAAATCCAGGAAGGGAGCAATAGTGGGAGGTAAGTAGGAAGAAGGAAGGGAAATGAGGGAAGGGAGAATTCATGACTGAGGAGTTTCTCTGGTTGGGCATGATGACAGGTTAAAGGCCTCCTCCATGAAGGAGACAGTTTTCTCTTCATTTTGGTGATTTTTACTGCCATTAATAGCTTTAGGTCCTCAAATTGTCCCCTATTATAGTCCATGTCTCCACCTCTGTCACCTAAGCCACACACAATATGCAGCAGTATATTGCCTTCATTAAAGACAAAACCTATCCGAGAGGCCCATGAGCCACACTTGTATCTGGAGGTAATTTCTTCAGCTTTGGCAGATTTCAGATTAGTCACAGCATGAGGACCTTAAAGGTCAGTCACCTGGAACACTTTCCTTGTCATTCTATCACCCAAAATGAGAACATTTTCCTGCTAACTCTTGCTAAGAAATGTCAGGGAAGCTCCTGACTGGCCCTGATTGTGTCCACCTCTACTAAACACAGTTGTGAGGACAGTGAGGACCTTGAGCTGGTCAGAACTGATTCACAGGCCCTGATCCCTGATTCTAGCAGCTCACTGTCATGCACAAAGTCCAGATATGGATTGTCCCTATGAACAAAGTATTATGTCATTGTCCTTTCATGTGTATGAGCACAACTCTTTACTTCCATTATCTTGAATTCCTGTCAAACCTTGATCATTAGTAAAATGAACAGTACTTTCAGTTTAATGGTCACCTGGTGGAAATGAGGCAGACTTTAAAAAAAAGGTTCTCAGATAATTTTCTTTTCAATCATTAGTGTAAGAAGGTCACTTGGGAACAAATGTTCCTTAGGAATCACACATTATGGAACAGAGGGATACTGAGTCACTGTTGTCTGATGGAAAAAAATCTGAACACTCTGTATATCTACTGTTGTAGTGTCCTTCTAAAGTCCTTTGATCACTTTTCTTTGTAAAGAAAATAAAATTTGTGAACATGGACTTGGTTGAGCAACTGAGAGGAAACAACCAGCAAAATCTCACAGGGAAATAGAGTCTAAGGAAGACAGGGCTGCTATGACTACTGAATTCTCAGTACAAATACACATTTGCTGATCATCAAGAGGGAGTCGTGGACTAGGGTTTGGCTA